CCGCCCTCGGGCCCCAGCGTGGGTGCAGCAGAGGCTGCGTCACCCTCAGCAAAGGCCGATGCAGCCCGGGCAGGGCGCAGGGCAGGCAGAGGGGGCCCGGTGGGGTCCCAGCCAGAGAAACAGTGAACAAGAGCAGCTGGGAGAGGTCTTGCAGCATGGCCGGGCCTCCACAGAGAGCTGTTCAAGGGGCACAAACGTGAACCCCTCCAGGGAGCAGGGGCAGGGGCTTGCCCAGGTTGTGCAGGGTCTCCCTCCGCACCAGGAGTGCTTCGTGGGCACTTCCCAGGACAGAGCCTGGCTGCAAGGGACAGCCGTGCCACCTCCTTCGGTGCAGAAGGGAAGGGTGAGCTCAGTGCTGCTCCGCAGAGGGGGCTGGGGGCTCCTGCCCTGCCAGCCAGCAGCAAGGGCTGCCGGGGGGCCCCAGAGCTGTGAAAGCGGCCAAGCAGAGCCCTGGAAACGGGCAGAAATATTGTGATTGCACATGGGAGTGGTGCAAGGGGAACGGGTGAAAGGGGAGAGCATCCCCTGGACAGAGCTGGCAGCAGCAGGGGATCCATCTCCTCATCTGAGGGGTGCGGGAGGACAAGGGGCAGGCACCCCCCGGCTGCAGGGGCAGCGCAGGCCGTCTCCTCGCCCTCCCAGAGACATTCGGAGATGGGAAACACACCGGGCTGCAATAGCCTCAAAAATGCAATCGCCAACGCCCCAGAGAAACCTCCCTTCCGCTCCTCCTGCACATGTGGAAAAACCTCCTCAGGCAGCTCCAGGCCCTGCAGGAAAGGCCTGAGTAAACACGGCCGGGGAGCGGGTCGCTGTAGGGGGATGCCCTGCGGTTCGGGGCGGCGGGGGGGGCAGGAGCAGGGCAGCAGCCCCGAGCAGGCAGAGTATGTTCATCCCACTCCCTGTGAATGGACACCCACAGCACCCGGGTTTAATCAAGCCTTAGTTTTTCTTCCTGCACAACCACTCGTTTCACTCAGTTAATGAGTTTATCTGGGCAGGCAGGAGGCTCCAGGACAAAATGGCCCCAGCTCAGCCCCGGCCGGCCTTCGCTCAGGATGTCAGCCGGGGCTTGATAAGCGCAGAGACATTTCAGCCAAGGCACGGTCACACCAGTCTCATTTTACAAAGCAGCTCTCGCGTACTGGCCATCAAGGTGACAGGAGCCCAGGGCAGGAAAGGTGATGGTCCCAGCTCCCCCCCGGCAGATTTCAGGGCTCTGCCCAAGTGTGGGACAGGGAAGAAGGGGAGCACCCTTCAGAGAGCACAGGGGAAGCAGAAAAGAGGCCGCACCGCTTGTTGTGCAGTTAGTTTAATTTACACAGTGACTGTCACCAATGCATTTCACCTGGGCAGCAGGACTGGTGTCACTGCTCCCCCTGCAAACAAGTTTTGATTTTGTCTTTCAGTCTGCAAACACCGTTGTAAACGTACAGCCAAGTCTACCTGTAAACACAGCGATGACCCAGAAGCTTCCCACGCACAGCACAAGGATCCCCGTGCTCCGTGCATGCACCCGTTGCAGCGTGCGGCGCACGCACACCGTGCTCACGTTATTTTAAACAGCCCTGTGCTGCGTGGCACGTCCTCTGCGATTCCGGGTTACAGTGATTCCCATTATCGTTCTAATCTGTTCGGACACAAACAGTTCTGATCCATTGTGACAATTAAACACGCCAGTTACACACAGCACTAACATGTACACACACACACCCCCCCCCCGCTCCTACAGCTACATTGAGTTGAGGAGGGCAAGAAATTATTCACATTTTGCACAGGAGAAAAAGCAACAGCTAGCGTGGGGAAATACAACCGAGGCTCCACTGCCATGGGACTGTTTTGGCAAGACTCAGCCTCTGTTCTCCCTTAAAGGGCTCCTTAGAGCTCAAGCATACGTGACAACGTACGTCACGGATACCTCCACCTTTGCAAAAGCTGCCTCCGCTGATGCCAAGTCTACAGGGGCGTTATCCGCCTGTGCCCCTAGGACTCTACAGCCTCAGGGCTTTGGTTTTAAATAAGAAACCCAAGAAGCTCCACTGCCAGTGGTCAGTACCTGAGATGAGGGTTTGCACCACAGCTCGTCCCTCCTCCATCTCGCCCCAGGCCACAGCAAGGCAGCCAAGCCCCCTGTGCCCGAGCCCCGTTCTCACCCCTGCCTCCAGAAACAAGAGGTGGAAGGGGCCTTCACTGCTGGATTTAGGGCTTTGCCTGGGGTACAAGTGTGCAGGTGCACAGTTAAAGGAGCATCTCTTCTCCATGGAGGACAGGAACAGCCTTTCTTGCAAGGACAAGGTGTTTCCCCATCACTAGAGCAGAGTCACCCTACACTGAGGCCGAGTCCTACCCTTTCATATTGGCCTCTCATGCCCCAGCCAGAGGTCAAAGAGCTGAGACCCAGCACGGGATGAGACATTGTTTTTGTCACGTTAAAACATGGCACACATGGAAGCCCTGGAGGTAGGAGAAGCACACCCTGGATTGTCAACTGCTCACAGCTCAAAAGTTGTTAAATCAGAGGCAGACACGTTAAGAACCACACGTAAAACTTTCTTAAAAAAGAAAATCTCTTCCTGAGCAGTGAGCTCTGTGTAAGCTGAAGTTGTTACGCCTTTCCTCCATGTGCTTGTATGCCCACTCAGCCAGAGCTGCATTTCTCTCATGCTGCCCTGATAAGCCTGCCAGGGAATTCACGACACGAGAAGTACACTACTACACACCAAACTCAGACGCTTCATGCACTTAATATCTTCAGTGGTAAACTTCAGGAATGAAAAGTTGCTTTGATCCAGTGTCATTACCCGAGAAGGTCAAAGCTCTCGGCTTTGAAACGTCACGGTAACACTCGAGGGGGCTGCAATAAGTTATTTTCACTAGAGGAGGATTACATGCAACTTGGACACGGGGGGAGAGGGCAGGCCGTAAACACACGGCGTTTAACAGGGATCTTTAATCGTCAAACCGCCCCTCACGGATGGTATCAAAGGAGAAAGGGAGAAACTTGAATCCAGTGCCAGTGTAGAACTTGTTCTGGAACTCAATCCTGCAAGAGGGAAGAGTGCACGCTCGTTAAAAAGGCAATTCGCAAGAGCTCCATTAAAGGTATGATTACTAACTATAAAAAAATAAAGCTTTAGAGAGAAAAAGCAGTGTTACAATGCACAAACTCCACATTTTTGTTTAATTGTCCAGGTACTTTGAGCAACAGAAATAGGATGAACTCCCTAAGCGCGGTATCGCTTAGAAGCCCCTAGGAGCACGCAGTATTTCTTAAAAGATCTCATTACTAAATGCCACATTTTAGTTAGAACAAACCTCAGTTGCGTGATGCTGTGCTCTGACTTCCTCCCTCAGCTACTTCTGTTTATTTACTTAAGCATATTTGGTTTATCCCCACATGACTACTTCTGCTGAGCTAGAGATGTGCCTGTGGTCTCCAGCTGAACATTAACTCAGCCTTGTTTGCCTGCTTCCCCTAATAAACTCAGTTTAAAAAAAGAATTATTCTAGAGAACTGTCCAATGGTCAGCAACAGCCAAATAGGGTAAGAAAAAAATAATCCCATGATTCACCATAAAAACAAGCACAGTGTTTCATGAGCGGCATGAGAAACACTTTCCATTGCATGGTCCACTAAAAAAAGGAAGTCTCTGTTGGAATCAAGTGACAGCAAACCATAGAGCAATTTAACACAATGCAGGAGAAGTATTTTTATGAAGCACAAAAAGGCTGACTTTAATTATTTATTTTTTTCCCCAAATCAAGAATCATGGTAAACTCCAAAGCTGCTGCCATTTCAGCTGGCAAAAAGTGATTTCCCCCCAGGGCCCAGGAGGGAAACCTTCAGAAAGCACAGCTTCCTGCTCCTATCTTCTGCTGCCTGTTCATGCAGATCCAGAGACTTCCCTGCAGAGGAATCCCTAGGATGAGCAGGATTTTCCGCGTGGGAGGAAAGGCTCCTTGCCAGCATGCTCCAGTTTTTCAGGAACCCTGATAATCTCCATAAGTATCCTGTGACTAAGTAACTATTCTGTAAGCAAAGGGAAATAAGAGGCAGCAGGTTGGGTATCTGAGTCACACAGAACCCACTGTAAATGCAATTTTAACCCTGATGATGAACAGTTCCAGCTGGCCCTGACATCGGAAAGCTCCTTTTGGACACACTCAGTTACAACTGGCCACAACTGGATGCCTGAGGCTCGAGGAGGGGCTGTTGTAAAGTTAGGAGAACCAGTGAAACAGTTGATTTAACCAAATATTACAGCTTAAACATTCCGTGTGTTTTTTCTGCAGTTATCTAGAGGAACACCCAGAATCCAAGGTCCTTTTTTTGGGATGAGACACTGCTGTTTCCAGGATCACTGGCTGTAGTGTGTACCAGCTCTATGGCTCAACTTTGCACTGTGTCTCTCTCATCAGCGATGAAGTTCTGCAGAAGAATTTACTAGACAGCACTGCACTGTAAATAAACAGACTAGAAAGCTTTCTGGCAGTCAGCGTTAAAGAAAACCCACTCTTCAGCTTTTTTTTGTATTAATAATTAGCTTAAGTGTTTGTTGGACTGTAGTTATGTGGATTTTCCAACCCAACAGAGTCATAGAGTACCCACACTGTCTGGAAAACTAGGCAGCTCACAGTCCCATGGGAAGCAACTGCAGAGGCAGTTGTTGAACAGGAAACTTAACTTTCATTTAGTACAAGTGCAAATTCCTGCTCGGTACTTGCGTTCTCAAAGGCATGCGCCCATGCCTGGGGGTCAGCTGTGATACAGAGCATGCCTCGAAGGGGGTAGCCTACAGAGCACCTTACAGTCAGAAAGCGATGGGGGTGTTTGCATAGAGATCGCTGCAGTTACTCTTTTCCAAAAAGGACAGCAGTTTCGTACGCCGCACCGTGGGTCGCTCTGTCCTGCGCTTATGGGAGACTGCCTTTTAGAGCAGTAGCGTACCTTTATGGTCACACTACAGACAAGCTCTGGCTCATGACCTTTACAAAGAAAAATAAAATTCTGGCAAGCGGGTGGGGAGCTAGGCTTCACCACTCCCTCTGCCGCTCCGCTGGATTGGGAGCGGGATGCAACTCCAGCACGCCCACGCCTCTCGGAAAGCAGCACTCCCCCGAGGGTGGCAGCGGGGCAGGAGCTCTGCCCGGGCAGAGGAGGGTCTGCCTGTCCATTCTCAGTTTACAGCCGAGAACAGCCGTCGACAAAGCGCCGCAGAACTGTTGCTTTTTATTTATTCCACATGGTTGTTTCAGGTTGACCGCATTTGTTGTGTTTGAAATCTATTTTGGTGTCCCTGCACAGAACCACAGAGCTCTCCAACTTTGCCATTTGGAAGAAAACAGACACCATGGGAGCTCTCTGCCTTCGGCTGCCCCTAACGCTGCGTGGCTGAGCGCACCGCTGCGGGTCCGTTTCACTCTTTGAGCTCTTTCTGGGGATCTTTCTGGACCAGTGGCAAACAGCTCAGGGCAACCCACAATAAAGAAAAATCATGTTTATGTCTGTCTCAAGCATGGCCATGATGAAGTGCACACACCTACCAGGGAAGCTGATGGTGCTACACCCGAGGGAGAGAACAGACTCAGACCTTTAGCAAGAGCAGGTGAACACAGTTCTCTGTTTGTCACACCTATATTCATGCGTGGCCGGGACCCGTGCTCTCCACGCTGATCGACATGGACTGGAGGGGTGGAAGACAGAGACACACGAGTCTGAACAACATGGTTTGATGGCTCCAAACTCTGGAACTGAACCCCCTATATCACAATACTCATTTAGCACCAACCTCTCTCCTACAGAGCAGTACAAACCCCACTCTTCACTGCCCTAAATCAACCTGATTTGCTTTGTATTATGCCTACTGCTATCTATTCTTTCAGCTGTGGCCTTGGTCTTGGGACATATTCTAGGGAGAGTAGCTTCCAGTTCCAAATCAGGCCTAAAACTGAGCCTAAAATACTGCTTTACACAGAAAAACAGCTCTGCTGAAACAGTAAGTCCCACATCAACTCATGATGTTGGGACCCTAACTTTGAATCCAGTTAGAAAATTCTCCTTTTGGGCAAAGTCTACATTTGCTCACATTAGAAGAGCTGACTAGCTTAAAAAAGGCAATCTAATGTAAATGTTCCTGTCAAACTACATTACTGAAAAGCACACAGAAAGGTAAAATATTTCAGAACAGGGATGTTACAGTAAAAGCAGTTAACAGCACAACGCGGGGTATAGCTCAGACAGCTACCGAGCTCCAGCAGACCTCTGATAACACACGCCTGCAGTCTTGGCAGCACTCGGAGTGCTTCCCTTTCTGAAAAAGCACAAAATAAGTCTTCATTTGGGACTGATAGGCAGAGCACAGGGAACAATCTGTGCTTTTTTTTTTTCCACCAGTAAGACACATGCTAAATTCCTCCTCCTTTCCAGGAAGGCTGAACCACCCACACCTTCGGAATTCCTAATAGGTGACTTCTCCCACGGCCAGAAAATTTGATCTGCTTCTCCCAGGACAGCTGTATCTGACCCCCCCTTCTAAAGAGGGAACACCTACCATTGGAAACATCCTGATTTCGCATTCAAAAGCGAAGAGGAATGTTAACAGTATGTTCTTTTGAACACCTGCAGGTGCCTTCCTCTCCACTGCGATAACGAAAATCCAACAATCCCAAAATAATTTCAGCAGACTACTCACAGTCTGAAATATTGCCTTTGACTTGCTTTTCAGGCCCTAAGCTCGAATGGATTTTCTCTTTGAGAACGTATATTAAATTTTTACAACTCTGAAACTTATGTTTAGGGAAAAATAAGACTTCACTAAGAGCTTCAGTCCCGCAGCTCCCCAGCAAGTGCCCTGCACTGCACCAGTGATCCATGTGCTTACTGCTATTGCTCAGCTGGGTTTCTCTGCTTGCCATTTCAGTGACACGCATCTTCCCCTTGACACGTTTCCTGACAATTTTTTAATCACCCTTTAGAGATAGCCTGGCAATGTGAAAAGCCACCTCTTGTCTGAACTGCAGCCTCCAGCTCGTGTTTGTTCCAGGTGCTCTGTGAGTGGTTTCCATAAGTGCAGTTTGTGGTTATTAACACAAGACA